CTAAACAGATTATTTATACTCGTCAATTCTCACATTGTTAGTCCAGTCGCTGTTCGGACCACTCACTCTACCTTATTCATTTTGAGCTGAAAAAAAATGCTCGGCAGTATTTCCTGTTTGACGGTGTAACGCCGGGTGCTCCTTGCATTAAGCAAACCGTTCATTGTGAACGGTGGATGTTGGTTTACTTTAAGTATGGATTATTCCTTTTCAGCTACCGTTGGTTATGTTTAGGTTAGAGATAAAAGATGATTATTAATCTCTCAGTAGTTAAAAGTTAGGAGTTTTTAGCAGGATGTCAGCAATATTAGAGTCTTCTCGCTGAAAGAATGCCGAGAAAAAAGTTGGCTCTGTAAACAGTTTCGGTTTTTAAGCACTCTAAAAGCTGATATAAATAAAACTATCGACTGAGCTTATTAATTTCTTTTTGAGAGCGCTTTTAACAAACAGCAATGACTCACGGCTCCCTAATACACAGCTCACATGAAATCAGTGCTACGGAATTATACTGGTTTTGTGGCATTGAATTGATTGAACAGCATCCAAAAAACTGTGAGCCAGATGCTGTTGCATCAATTTTCTGATAAAATGTATAAGAAATTCAAAGATAGCGACAGCTTATCACCGCTAACATTGAGAATAACTGAAAATTTTAAAATTATTAGTTTTTCTCTATTCAACAAATGTCTTTGAATATTGCTCATTCCGTCAACATCAGGCTGTTCCTCAAAAAGAAGATGCTATTTCTGGCAATAAAAAAAATTTGTTTTGTGCTGCTTTACTAATGACTATTTTTTTTAAAACTATGAAAAGTTAAAAAAAGACGAGTCACGATGATGTAAAATATTTTGATAAGTCTGTTACACCGTCAGCAAAAAAAAAAAGTTGCCGTCCTCTTCTTCTCTCGTTTTTAGGCAGTGTAAATAGGCAGTGAACTATAATTTAGGGGAGAAAGACAATTTCTTTAAAAAAAGTTTGCTTCGTTCACTTTGAAACAATAGTTTACTAAAAATAAATTTGCCATTTTTTTTGTTTGTGGACAGTACTGTAGTTTTTTGGTTCCACTGAACTAATAATTAACATTAGTTGTTTATACGTAGGAAAACCTAATTTTTGACTGTTGTAGCACATTATTTTCTGAGTCTAGCAATGGAAGCAAAAGTAAAAATAAGTAATGATTTCATTGAGAGGAAAACAACGAAGTGAAGTCTGATATTATATACGATTTATTAGTAATACTGATGATGGTGGCAGTGATAGTAATAATTATGGAAGTTTTGATAAGCGATCCTTAAAACTTTTGTTATCATTATTGATTCTGCATTGTTTAGACTAAACTTTTTTATATATTTTGCTGTTGAAATAAACACCAATTTTTGCTTACCGATTACCACAAATTCGTCTTGTTCACTTTGACGCTCTTTTCATAAACCACAGATTACACTTGGAATCAGTAATATCCAATATTTAGTATGTCAAAGCTTCATTTTCAAATGTCGGTTCGTCGGTGACAAACGTTTTCTGACAAATGCAGACTGCAGAACGCGAGTGTGTATACGCAAAAAATTTTTTGGCATTTTTCTAATTTCAAACAAGAAAGTTACTGATAATGAAATTGATCTACTACCCTTCCCTCTACTTTTCCTACTACTTCCCCGCTTGTAATTCTAGTTTAGCAAATAAAAAAAACCGAGTTTTTTTTTACTCTGTCCAGTCTAGGCGTCTTTCAGCTATTTGAAGATCGATTAATTGTTCTAGTAGACGGATAGGAAAGAGGACATGGAGATTTAGTGAAAGGGAAAGGAAAAGGAAATAGGATTGGGGTTGGGGGAATCTTACAGCAGTTTTTCACTGTTTCGTCACTGCATTCAGTGAATTTCCAGAAAGAACCTTAACAGTCTGATACTACTATAAGCTATCGACGTACTGTTGCTGTTCCTTTCTTTTTCTTTTTTTTTTTTCTTTTTTTGCCTGATTCTTTCTAAACGAATGTGCAAAATAACAAGACCAAAACTTTTATTGGTGCCCTTTTACAAGTGAAATAAAAGCTTGAACACTAATAAAAACTTTTTTTTCGTTTTTACCATGGTTAACTTCAATATTTTGTCTGCTATTTTACTGCCTGTTTTCCCTACTGCGGTTTGCTTACGTTTAGCTTCGTTGTGTTTCTTTTTTTTTTTCCTTTGAAATCCATCGGTTTATCGACATTATTCTTTCGTTGGCTGCTTGTCTTTGACAGTCTGCCGGAGCAACCCATCATCCATCAACAGCGAGGCGCAAACAACAACCGCAACGGGGATTCTGTTACATCTACTGTTGGCGCTGCAGTGATTACAGTTTTTGTTGTCTTTTTGCTAATCTCTAATTGATATCATTTGTTTTTTCCCACATATAGCAAATTTTAAAGAAAAAAATGCAGAACAAAATAAAGATTTTGAGCACGGGAACCAACTGGTAAACAACGTTTTGTCTATTGAAATAATGATGACTATTATTATCAGACCAAGAAACATTGGTACCAGCGATGGTCTGTCATGTGCAAATCGCCAGCTTTAAATTTTGCAGCTATCAACTGCAAACATCTTGTTGATTCAGCACTATATTTCTCCTCTATTACTTTGGTTTTTGACTTACCAAAAAAAAAATTTTTTTTTTTCTTGCCACTGATCTGTACATTCACGTGATTTGTCTGAGGTAGAAAAAGATTATACCGATTGTAAATCGTATCGGTTACAAAAAGTTGCTTAAATTTATTTGCCATTATTTACCAAACTTTTTTTCTGCTTCACATATATTTCTCAAGCTGAATATCAGCTCTTTTTTTAATGCTTTTTTTTGATGGTTATAATCAAACGAATCTTCAATGACAAGAAAAAAATGACATCTGCTGAGCCGTCTTAAGTCAAATACAAATACTTTTGATGATTGTAGTTTTTTTGAGCTTATAATCAAGTTTTTTTTGTTTTCTTTTTTTTTGGATTGTACTTTCTATCATAATAAACCTTTTCTTGTGCTCTTTGTTTATCATCAAAATTAGTTGGTCAATTTGATCATTTGAACAGCAAACAGTATAAATGCTGCTATTAATTGGGCATTTGTTCAGAGGACAGCTTAGAGTGTTGGGTGAATGTATTTCAACCTAAGATTTCGCTGCTGAACCGATAACACTTTAGTTATTTTGGGACTGGATGCTTCTCTTCAGACTTCTGCTCTTTATTTGCAGTTGATTCGACGTCTTGTAAAGTTTAACATTTGTTTTTAGCTTACTTACGGTTGAAGAAAGAAAAGTGAACTGGCAGACTGTCCATCCGGTTTAAGTTACGGTAGTGGGTCTAGTAAGATTCAAATATTTTATCGCCCAGTTTAATATTATTGATTAATTAATATTGCTCTTCTAAAACCTGTAGTCCTAATCGCCATCATGTACTTGTTTTGGTTTTCAAGTTTTTCTTCATCATCGCCATCACCATTTGTCTTTGCATCTTATTTCTGCACATTGTCTTTTTCTTCGCTTATCAATTGTTTGCGCTTAGAAACTGCAGTTCTTTAAAAAGTTTGGTGTAAACTTAAATAACTGAAACAAGAACAAATAAAATTTTTTAAATAACTTTACAGGAAAATAAAATTTCTTCTGCTTTTATCTTTTCAACTTTTAATTTTGTTCTTTTACAAACTTGCTTTCAACAACAGTGAAACTGTTGTCAAAATAATAAATTTGACTGCTGCGTATTCTATTAAAAAATATATTTGTTAAGCGCAGGTGGAGCAAGAAAAGTGAAAACGGCTGTCAAAGGTAATGAATCTTTCGAAGAAGGAAGTACAGACAAGACAGTCATTAAAATGGTGCAATGCTTTTGCATAAAATTCCTTAACTTCGCTTTACTGATGAGATTATCAGACTGCCTTAACTGTGAAGAATAATTTAACAACGCTACAGTACCCCAAATTCAATACGGGACAGGTGGAAAGGAGGAAAAGAAAATGGGAGGAGATTATGGGGTGTTACCTGTCAATGCGGTTTTCAACAAATACATTGCTTTCAGCTCTAAAATGCGTATTTTGAACGGTAAACAGACTATGATGTTGGCCCTAAGACGGTGATTGCTCAAAGACCGTCGGAACTTAACTGTCATTATTTAGCAAGGAAGGAGTATTGATACTTCGCCATTGCAGTGTTCCGCCTAACACCGAGATACCGAATATCGTGCTCAAGGAACAGCAATTCTCAATAACTTTATAACTGAGTGTAAAGATTTTTGACTGCCGTTGACGGTAAAATTGCTCTGACTATCATCTCTACAAAAAATTCTTGTAAACAGTCGTACTCGTAGTCGTAGTGTGTTCTGTAGCAGATCATTATTCTTTGAGGTTCTGCCCAGTTTTCCTCTGTAATTATTTTACTCTGTAAGAAAAAGTTTTTTCTACTTTTAATTTTCTTTTCAACTCTCAGAAAATTAATGATGATTGGTAAGTTCTTTCGTATGAAATGTTTGAAATTAATGAAATTCAATCATATTGCACTGGAAAACTTTTTTAAGCCGACTACCGTAGTTGAGCATATTGACAACAATTGAAATGTTCGCATCAATTTCGTGTTAATTTTATTTGTCTGCTATCAGTAAATTCGTTTTAAGTTGTTCAGTGTCAAAAGTAAACGTTGATTTGTTGACTTTAAAAACCTTTCTGTATTTACATTTTGATATTTGAGTGGTAGTGGTTTTAATCTAAATTTTTTAACTTTAATGATAGCTTGGTAGCTCAGCAAGATTCAATTTTTGCTTCTGAACTTCATCGACATAGTACTGGTGCTTACTCGCTTATTCGACGTTATTACAATCGTTGATCTTCAATAACGACAGATAATTTGGCGTCAAAATTTGGACCAACTGTATCTACCACGAATACAATACACTTTACTTTTAATTTTTTCCTTTTTAGATTTTATATACATCGCAAAATCCTGTTACTCATCCCTTTTTTCTGCTACTGCCTTTTTGAAGATGGCGGAAGTTTGTTCACACGTTACTGCTGAAGTGTATCCGCACGGTGAATTTTATACTTTACTCCGTGAACACTCTGAAAATTATTACGACGATTCAATGTTCAAAAAGGTTAGCAAAGAATTTCTTCTTGAAAAGTGATTACTTCAAAAACAGCAGATGAAATTGTTCATATTTGTTATTTCATTGCTTTTTTTAACCCTTGATGAACATTGTCGCCAGAAGCGGTGTTCATTCTAGTGTTAAGTTTATACTAACCAGTTTTCCCAAGAACTGCGATCATCGTACAAACTGTTATGAAGTGCATATAAAGTTGAAAATTCCAATTAAGTCGATTGGAAATGAGAGTATATGCTGTTTTTTGGTGGTTCATTAATACGCGTGCAAAAGTCATCAATCTTTATACCACCCACAGTAGTGTCACAACTGTTAGATAGAATCATTGCTTCTGCTTAGCAGCAAAGCATAGAGGAACGGTGTCAGTAGGGTATAAAACTTTTCTGGGATTTAAAAAAAAATATTAACTGATTAAATCATCGATGAATAAGAGGTACATTACAGGTGCAAATCAAAAAATTTGAAGAGAATGAAGGCTTTAACTCGGAGATCTTCAAAGTTACCGCTTATGACAGCTCCAACAATCCCCATTACATGATCCTGAAAATCCCATGTGTTGATAAATTTCTTGAAAAACTAGAAGATGCCGGACAAGAAGTTAACGAAAGCGATGGTGTAAATAATGAGGTATGCATATATTTTGCAAGCATTTTGCTGATAACAAATTCCCCCTCGAGAAATTTTGTTTTTATATACGATCTAAGAATTAGCACAGCGTCAAACGCTTCGTCACCTTATTATCAATATACATTGCTAATATTAGTAGGAAGAACACATTTAAAAGATACTTCGCTCTTATTACAAAATTATCATTTAACTAACAGCAAAAAGAAGGTAAAAAAAAGCAAGATAGAGCTGTGAAAAAGTGCAAAAGAAAAAAATTTAAAAATCATAAAACAATTATACGGACTGTAAGGACAGTGTCAGTCTTAGGCCTCAATGAAAAGCAAAATCAATTTTTTTTTTTTTTTT